AATATCCTTGATATTTTGTATCACATAAGGTTAAAAAAAAAAAAATCACGTCAGATGCAAAAAAGGACTTCCCAAGAAAACATTCTTGGAGAATGTGACAGGGCGCACGGGTTAGAGAAAGAAGTCTGAAAATTTTTGTATTACCATTTGTAAGCAGGAGAGACCTTCAATCTGAATCTGAATTTAAATTCCTGAGAATTAAAGATGCAAAATCAGTCACCGGAGAGATCACACTAGCTGATCAGGGCTGGGGGGGAATTATATGTTTACTTAAGGCACTATTCTGATTATGACATATATGTAGGAGGACTTCTGCCTTCAAAAAACTATTGAGAAACTTGATTAAAATGATTCCACATGCCTTTGATATGTTTTAGAGAGATAAAAATCTCACTCCTCCTACTCACTCACCCAAAGCAATTGGACAGTTTTGCCACCCAAAAATCGTCAGTAAAGAATTGGCTTAGCTGTTCCCAATATATGCAATCCTGCCTTCGGTTTTGTTGCAACAGAATTTCAAATCCAATCCCTGTCTCAAAAATCAGTAGTGCAATCTTTATCTCTGCCTCTCCCTGTGCTCTGTAGACCTGAGCATCCAGCAGCATCTCTCTACCTTTGCAGGAACAGTCTGAAGTCGCCTGACCTTTCCAGGTTCATTCAACACTTCAGACACTGTTCAAGCAGCTTTTTCTCTTCCCTAATCCCATTAGACCACAGGCGTGAGGCATGCCAGCACCAGCCTGTGTCAGCTAATTAGCCAGTAATTCCTTTGGCATAAATGTGGCAAGACACATAGCCCAGGACCTTTACAGGGAAATCTAGAGCAAATTTGAATCTGAACCAATTCTCAGAGTATCAGGAAGTCTCCTCATGTCACCAGCTAATTAAGGGAGTAACTTCATCTACAGTCAGCCTAAGAGATGTTTGAGTCCTAACTATAAAGATTCATAGCTAATTAGTTACAGGATCATGCCATTACGTTTAGGAGAGTTTGCGTGGCAGGTGACAAATGCCTGTTTTCAAAAAAAAAATTGTTATTGACCTACCTGGATCTTAAATAGAACAACTGTGCCAATGTTGAATCACTTGGAAAAATCCATCTGATATGTCATCAAGCCTCAGCTCCTTTCTTAAAATATAGCATCAGTAATACTGAACGTCTGTCCTTTGTTATTTTGGTTAATAGCTAGTAACGCACTCAAACAAACATCTCTTCCCCTGTCCTTTTACACAGCCTTTCACCATCACATCACAGGCAGGATTCTGAGATATTGCTGCAATGTGAACAACATGAACAGGTTTTAATAGGACAGAAAAGCAAGCCTCCCCTTCCCCAGACAAGAAACCAAATGAGTCCATTGTGGAGAAAACTCACAAGCCACCAATGTAAGACCACTGAACTTGGTGAGCCCAGTGAAAGCATTAGCCTCATGCAGTATTAGATCTTCAGAGCCAGGTCCCAACTCGAATACCAGTCAATTTTCTTCAAGTCAAAATATTGAGCTAGACAATTCAGGCTGCCTAAGATTTTTCAGTGGCTTGCTCAAAAGGCCCAGATTTCTTAAACTGGACTCTCTTTCCTCAGCTCATTCTAAGCCATCCTAAATTTCTGGATCTGCTGCCAAAAACACACATCATCACCACACCTTGGGTGAGTAAATCTGAAGGCCCAGTGCCAGGTGTTGCAAACACCAAAAACCAGTTGGTGGAATACACCAGACACAAACTGCACTGCCTCTGTTACGTCTTCCTGGAGCTGTAAAAATTAATCTTGAAAATCTTTAAAATACTTAAAAGATACTTAGCCAAAAAAAAATAATCAAATTTTTAAAACCCCATTTCATTACATATGGAGGACAGGGAGGTAATTCAAGACAGCCAGCGTGGCTTCACCAAGGGCAAGTCCTGCCTGACCAACCTAGTGGCATTCTATGATGGAGTAATTACATTGGTGGACAAGGGAAGAGTTATGGATGTCATCTATCTGGACTTCTGTAAGGACTTTGACATGATCCCCCACAACATCCTTCTCTCTGAATCGGAGAGGTATGGATTTGATGGGTGGACTGTTCAGTGGATGAGTTGCATCCAGAGTGTAGTTGTCAATGGCTCGATGTCCAGATGGAGATTGGTGACAAGTGTGTCCCTCAGGGTCCAGCACCTAGGTCAGGGCAACCCTTGGTATCAAATACAGGCTGGGAGATGAAGGGATTGAGAGCAACCCTGTGGGGAAGGACTTGGGTGTGTTGGTTGATAAGAAGCTCAACATGAGCCGGCAATGTGTGCTTGCAGCCTAGAAAGCCAAACACATCCTGGGCTGCAAGAAAAGAAGCATGGCCAGCAGGTCAAGGAAGGTGATTCTGCCCCTCTACTCCAGGTGGGGTTTCCCGAGAGCGGAGTACTGCATCCAGCTCTGGAGCACAGAAAAGACATGGACCTCTTGGGGTGAGTCAGAGAAGGACCACAAAAATGATCAGAGGGATGGAACACCTCTCCTATGAAGACAGGCTCAGAGAGTTGGGGTTGTTCGGTCTGGAGAAGAGAAGGCTCGGGGGAGACCTTACTGTGGCCTTTCAATATATAAAGAGGGCCTACAGGAAAAATGGGGACAAACATTTTAGCCAGGCCCATTGCAATAGGACAAGGGGTAATGGCTTTAAAGTAAAAGGGGGAAGATTTAGACTAGATACATGAAAGAAATTTTTTACAATGAGAGTGATGAAACACTGAAGCAGGTTGCCCAGAGAGGTGGTAGATACCCCATTCCTGGAAACATTCAAGGTCAGGCTGGACAGGACTCTGAGCAACCTGATCTTCTTGAAAGTGTCCCTACACATGGCAGGGGAGGTTGAACTAGATGACCTTTAAAAGTCACTTCCAACCTAAACTATTCTATGATTCTATGATTATTGTTTAAAAATAAATTTATGAACACAACTGAGCCGTCAGAGTGACATCTTCCTTTTCTTCTTTGCTCAAATAAAACTATTGCCGTCTTACCAGTGAGACATAACATCAAATTATCCTAATCAAGGGCAAGAAAAAAAGGTGAAAAACTGGCTTTCTGGTTAAGAGGGCAGAGTTGAAAAAGAAAGATTAACCAGTAACTGAGTTACCGGACTTGACCACCTTAGATCTGTGAAAAGGAGATGTGAAGGTTACTGCCAACAGTTTCGTCTTACGAAGGGAGGCTTTATTGATTTGAATCACATCACAGCAAAGCTTGACAGGAGATGCCTGCTAGTGTTAGCTCCTGTTAATTGAACTGATGCACAGCAAAAGGACTGTCTTAGATGTAACAAAGTGTGATGTTATCTCCTGCTTAATAAACAGAGATCTGTAAGACTGGATGATAGACCCCATTACTTTCTGACCATGGCACATGAGAGGGAGACACGAGGTGCTACACTCCCAGGGTAATGTGGGCATACTGCCAGCATACAGATGGAGGCACTTACTTTTTTTTTATATTCACAGCAGTGTAATGAATGACTGCACTGAGGAACAGAAAAGAGTGATAAAAATATAGACACATATACAGTGCTAGCCAAGTGGTGCACTCTGTGTTACTGAATAAATACCTTGGTGTTTGAAAATACCAGTATTTGGACTTGTAAACCTTTCATTATCATCCCAGTTATCTGCGCTCTTAAAAGCAGAGTTTTCTTCCATTTTTTACCTCCCACTGTTGAAGTGGCAGCTTTTCTTTCATCCTTCCTCGAAAGTCATTAGCAATGCTCATGGATGCCTTTGTTCCCTCAATATTTGATCTCTCACTATCAGAAGAAAGAAGCATTTTTCCCAGGTCAAATCACTAGCTGAACTGAGTCCACAGAACTTAAAAAAAACCCCTTGCTTCAGTGATTGCAACTATAAGACTCTTATTTTTAATAAGATTATGCATGAGCACTTAGTATTTGAATGGTAGCTATTACACTCTATGAGTATTATATATACAAGAGAAAATAAGATCTAAGAGTTACCAGTTAAATATATTTTCTTAAACAAACCTTTATCTAAAACGAGAATGAAAATCTCATGAACACTGCCCTGACTGTGTTTTGGATAGCAGTGGGCATAAAACTATAGCAGCAGCTACACACTGACCATCGTAACGTTGAAGAATTCAAAGAAGTTGGTATTGCAAATTCTGTTGCCATCACGAACATCTGTGAGCTCACAGCAGATTAGTAAATGAATACATGGTTATGGCCAAAGGCTAGGCTGTTACAAGTATTTTTCTAAACCCACTAAATGTAGGATTTCAAACCTTAACTGCGATCCTCAGCTTCAAAATCTACTTGGCAGGCAACAGTTCAGCAAAAATGGATGCAGTCAGAAGATTTCTTTCAGACAGTTGGCAGAAAAAAATCAGGTTGTTACATGTTGATTGCTCTGGGCTAGTCCATCAACAATGAAGACTCAGTGCAATGACAGCCAAGCAGGCAAATTCACTGAAGGTTAGACTTCTGCCTAACAGACAGATACTGAGAAAACAGAAGACATCATGGGGAGTTGCATTCCTCCATCAGCCTTCCTTTTCCTGGTGCAAACATTTTTGGTATCTGGTTTACTCCTTACTGTCACAAGCCGAGATCTGTGAAAAAGGCAAGGCTTTGCTTGATCTTTGCTTTGGTCTCTGGTTCAAAGACCACATAGCACCAAGATTTGCCTCCAAATCTGGAACAGACTTTTGTGAGGTTGAAATCTTAGTTTTATATGGCTGTGTATCCAAATAGGACCCTATAGCTCTACAACTGTCTTTCCATTCCCTAAAACAGTGAAGAGAATTTTTTAAAGTAATCATAATTTTCCAATGACTTTAATGCCAGAAACAGCATTAGTCCGCACACACAATACTGAATAAAGCACATAATTTTCCTTTTTAACAAGCTAGCATGGATGTTCATTCTCTATGGATTCACGTTCCCTGAATATTTATTAGTTCATTACCAAAACATTTGTATATTTCCTTCTGATGAGATTCATCAAAGTATGCTTTAAGAGAGTTTAGATGACCGAAGCGATGAACACTTTTTAAATTGCTTCTTTCGTTCCACTGCTGTTCGCAAAGCCTGAAGAATTAAATGCTTATTATTCAGGATGTTGTAGCTGCACAGGTTCAGCAACTTGTTGAAATTCTCCTCAGTATACGTAAGCAGACCAGTACCATAGGGAGCAATAGAGTTGGACACTTCTACTCTTCCCTGCTCCATCTCTGTGGGACTGCGCTCCACATCTGAAGTAAAAACATAGCAAAGTTCAACACAGCAATGTTACTGAGGCGAAAGACACCTACCAGGCAATGCAAAATACATGGTAACAGCCACAAGAAACTGAATTCTCTCAGGAAAATCATTCAAGATTTAATTACTGTAGAGATCCTACATCTGCTGCACTAATAAAATCCACAGCAAAATTCTTTCCTCTCTAAATTAATGTTTCCATCAGAATATTTCACTTTTGCAGATTTGGAGTTTTGTATTTTTAGGTTTTCCATTGGGTACTGAGATGACAGCTCCTCATCTACCAACTGATAGAAAATGACACCAGGAAGCTTCTGGATCAGGAATTCTCCCTCTCAGGTGGCTGAGATTTTAAGCACATGCACCAGGACAAACAAGATGATGACCAACATGAGGTCTTTTCCAATAAACTGCTACATGGATTTTTGTTCAGTTTTTGAGGAAAGTTTCCTGGATCATACTAAACTAGCAACAAGAAAATTGGAGTCGATGCATGCAAAAGTATTTGTAAACTGAAACTTAATTTGCCAAGTAGTTTTTCCTGGTGAAACAAACAAATCACTACTTTTTCTACTGCTGAACTAAAGAAAATAATCTGCCAACTTTTCAAAAATGACAGATATAAAAAGCAGCTTGTTACCCTGGCAAATCCTTTGCTTCCTTATATGTTTTCAGCACTTTTGATTCTCAAAGTAACAAGAGGGTTCTAGCTTTGTTAACAAAGAAAACACAGAATCTCATTACAAGACTGTTAAGTGACAATGTTAGTTATCAGTGGATATAATTCAGCAGCTGCCTCCTGTCCTTTAGTATCAAAGGAATGCTAACTGTCCCAGATGCCAGATAAGGGGGTTTGCCTCAAGCTACAGCTACTCATGCTTTTATTTTTGAAACTCTTCAGTTCAATCCCTGATTAGTTGGCCAATATTATATCCATCACAAAAGGACTGGGAATATGACGACTTTGCCAACTGAGAAGCTTGCCAGTCTCTTGTTTTAGAAGAAGAACAAATTCAATGGATAAACTGGGTGCGACAACCTCAAAAAGTGACTGACTAATGCTGTTAACTTACTCGGTGCCTTGTATTTCCGGAAGGTATCACACACCAGTGGGAAATAGGCCAAGATTGGAGCCTCTAAGCTGTCCTGAAACACATAGCACTCCTTCAGGTGTTCCCGGTCTTCCTGGCTCAGCTCTGTGCCGGGAAATGGGATCCCATGCTCTGAACAGTACTCTGAGAACAGGTCCAGCGGCTGGTTCAAAAAAGAGAAGAGTTGACACGCAAAAAGAGGTTGAAATAAGGCTACCAAGCCCCACAGCTGATATTTTGCTGCACTAGGCAATCTGGGATTGATTCATATGTTTACAAATAAGTCTAACTATGCACCATAACAAACATACCCTCTTGATTTTAATATCTCCTAAGTAACAGAAATTTGGTTGATCTGCTAACTGTACATTTTAAAAGCAAGATTACTGTTTTCTGAAATTTATAAGAATTTCAGATTATTTTTGTGATTTATTGGGCACAGTAGAGGATTTGCATCAGGAAATTTTGATTACACATGGTATCTCAGATCACAAGTTCTTGAGTGTTTGCATTCAGTGCATCTAACAAACAATGTCTTCATGTCCTCCTACAAATAACCTACATCAATGTCAATCATACAATGTTTCTTCAAACACAGCAAACCAAAAACCTGACAGAAACTTATGCAAACACAAGAGTCAAAAATAAAAAAAAAAACCTCCAAATTTTCACTCAAAACCAGCAAAATTGTGTATTAACTAATTACATTGTAAAAGTTAGTTTACTGACTTTCATGGATCTTGGTACCACAATGACAAATCTGCACAGATACACAGAATAGGGAATCTGTGTCCATGTGTGTCCCCCCAAACGTTAGTGTAAACAGCCCTGATGAAGACAGTGACATTATGATCACAGTACTGAATAGAATCACGGAAATGATCATTTAACTTAACAAAAACCGGACCATTTTCTGAAAAAAAGAGAAATGTGCTAATGCAGCTGCTGGAGACATACAAATAAAGAATTGCTACTTAAAAACATCACCAGAGTCTGTGATCCTCCACTGTAATTTAAATGCAGAATGACATCCACTTTCCTCTCTGGCCTCAGAATGGGTGGGCAGCTGGTGTTGATGAAGAAAGCTGTATCTACCAGCTTGAGGTAGTCACCCATTTCATTCAGCTGGTTGGGAGACGAATCCAGCACTGTGTCTGAAAGTCAAAAACTTATATTATCAATTAATTACTTCAGGACCAAGTCCACTTTTTTTCCAAATCAGCATAACAAGGAAAGAAAGAAAGAAAAGAGAGCCCATGCTTATATTAGTCTTTGACACAAAGCCCACAGTTAAATATTTGCCATTGACACAATTTTAGCATCTACAGCTCAACTCTGAGATCTGTAACAGGGAGCAGTTCTGAGACTCAGCTTCATCCAAAGTGTTATATTAAGCTTTTTCAACTGGTGTAAATGTGTGGCTATTTAGCTTTAGTGGAAGCTGCAAGTCAGTCTTTTGTGGCTGTTCCTAGGAAAAAGAGGATTCAAGCAAGCCTGCTGTGGCTTCTCCAAGACAGAAACAAGATCAGCAGTAAATCATCTGGGACACAGCAAAACCAATTCCACAGACATATTCTAGAGAAAAGAAGATTGAGGGGGGATCTTATTAATACATACAAATACTTAATGGGAGGATGCCAGGGGGATGGGAGTAGTCTTTTTTCAGTGGCGCCCAGTGATAGGACGAGGGGTAATGGGCATAAACTTGAACATAGGAAGTTCCATCTTAACATGAGAAGGAACTTCTTTACTTTGAGGGTAGTGGAGCACTGGCACAGGCTGCCCAGAGAGGTGGTGGAGTCTCCCACTCTGGAGACATTCAAAACCCGCCTGGACGCTGTCCTGTGTAACGTGCTGTAGGTGACCCTGCTCTGGCAGGAGGGTTGGACTAGATGATCTCCAGAGGTCCCTTCCAACCCTAACAATTCTGTGAATTCTGTGAATTAATGAAATAATAGTAATCAAAAAATGCCTTTACGCTAAAACTTATCAAATATTTGTCCTCAGCAAGTATCAGCACTCAAATCACCTTCAAAGATGCATCTAAAACAATTTACTATTACCTTTCCACATGCAAAATCTCTCATTCTCTAAATACTTGTTATGTAGCTGCAAGCCCTTGAGGAAGTTATGGTAAGTTGAAACCACCGGCCGTCCGGTCATCATTTCTCGAAGAGTATTGGAAAGGCAGCCTTTGGGAACGGATAAGCAAGTTGCCTGTTCATGAGGCTTCTCAGGCAGAGCAGGGTGTTCCTCTGTAGGAAGAATGAGAAAAGGGTATATGTCTGCATTTGTTTAGAGCATTTCTTTGATATTAATAATAACAAAAAAGAGGGGCCGGGCAGCCAAACCACCACTGCCACATCTGTGATGGAGTGCACACACCAACATGCAGACTGTTTTGGGCAGAGGTGGGTTTCAGTGTCACAGCATCACCTTGTTGTTCCCCGCCTGGCCTCTCCCTCCCCAAAGGACTCATGGTAACCCTCTCGTGACTAACAAAACTCCCCAGGGATGTTGCACTGTGAGCAGCGCAATGTTTTTTCCTGTTTTCCAGCACAACTTTTTCTCTCCTGTTTTTCCTCCATTCCCAAAGGCTTGGTGTCACTTAACCCAGAAACAGGACACAAAAACAAACCCTTTACCAGACGTCAGGTTTCATATTTCAGAGAGATGTGAAGACAACACAGACGTAAGTGAAAAAGTAATCTAAATAACTAACCAATGTCATGCTCAGTGTCTCGGGTCCATCTGTGCCAGAAGTCCTCTGAATGACCCGAGAGGTAGACAGCATCCATAAAATTCTGGGAAAATATATTACTCCATGTGCCTTGAACGTTGGTGTTGGTTTTAAAAAAAAAAAAAAAAAAAAGGAAAAAAAGCCATACTTAATATTACTTTGAATTTTTAGAGTGCAGCTATGGCAACCTACTTGGACTCAGTCTCTGTTTTTTTAAAAATCAGCTAAAGCACTGGTTTAGTTATGAAATATTATGAATTTTGGCATGAATATCAATATGCTGTGATATTCCATGTACTTTTTGGCTTATGACTAGGCTATTTTGGAAATTTGGCTGTTTGCAAAAGTCAGACTGTGATTTTAAGTACTTCAAAAGATCAGTCCTAATGTGTGCATTTTGTTTTGATCTAAGTAGTTCAGCAAATTAATTGCTTTTGTATCAAGAATTTGCTTCCTCTTCTGTCACTTTTGGCTGGTTCATCTGAGATTTAATTTGCATCAGACACATTATCTGGTGTACTAGCATTGCTACTTGCAGACCAGTAGTTATTAGATGCCAACTCTCTGTAGCCAACTGTGTGATTATAAAGGCGATGTTTTTCTGATTAGTAAATCACCTTCCAAGAAGCAGATGCGGGACTCTGGAATCTTCTTCATCAGGTGACCCATGAAGAACTCACTACCAAAATCCTCTGAACGAACAAAGGCCCCGTATTTCAGGAAACCCACCTCGTAAGGTGTGAACTCCACCCACTCTGCAAATAAGGTACCAAGAAGGACTTATTGCAGCCACCTGAACACATGTAAAAAGAGCAGCTGAGAGAATCAAAAGCTAGAAGGACAAGGCCCATAGCTTCAGCATGTTGGTGACAGACAGTTCAAACCACCATGTTTTGAAACAAACAGGTTCCCTTCAATGTATTGCATGTTAGATTAGTGAACACAAAAGCTAAATACATTTCCTCCACTAACACTGAGAAAATCCATTCAGCTGGGGGTTCAGGTCTGTTTCTGTACCAGGAAGCAAAAATTGGGGCTGAAATTCCATCAATTTCTAAGGCCCAGCTCAAGATGTGGTGGTTTTGGTTCTTCTGAGTCAGCGATGATGTCAGCTACCGTTCATTCTTAAGACTCTGATAATCACTGCCTCGTGAAGCTAAAAAATCTCTCACCAAAACCCATCCAAACCTTGGCTGAACACACCGGGATTGCAGGTTGTGCCTAGAAGCACACAATCAGTTTCACTTGCAGGACCTCCTGCTTTGTTTGGGTGAGAAAACACCAGGCAAATAGTTAGAGATCAGCAACACTGATGAGGGCACAGAGCACTGCTCCTCCTCAGATCCCTCTTTGGCTGCTGGGAGCTGCCTCCTGCTCTCACCCCCCTCCACATCTTCCCTTCTGCTCCCTTCCTTGCCCTCCTCCCCCAGCTCTTCACAGCTGTCTTGGACTACTGCTGCCTGGGCAGGAAACCCAGCAGCTGAAAGAGGCTGTGAGGCGTATGTGGGGATGAGAGAGAAAGAGCAGCAGTGGCGGCCCTCAAGGCTGCCACCAAAAGGCATCTCCACCCACCACATGGCAGTGTCTTTGCACAGGTATCTCCCTACCATAGTATTAGGATGCATGTTTTTCATTCAAGTCAGAACCCAGATGTGAAGACAGGGGAAAACAAAATCACTTAAAAGACCTTGGACTTACAGTTAAAGTTTTTGGCATTCACCGAGCATTAAAAGGAAACTCCTTAGATTTATAGAAGCGTATATAATAATCATTACCTTTAAAATCCAGAGTGCTAAAGTCATCCTTGACATTGAGGGACAGGTATATGGGCAGTGGATTCTGCCCCTGATTTACTGCCAGTTGCTGATCAGAGAGTTTGTAAGGACTTTCCTGTTTACAAAGAACAGGAGTCATTGTAAAAGATGAACATGATGACTTAACACAATATTTAAGCATGGACTATCAATGAAACCTCTCATAAAACTCAGCAGATTTTGTTCTGTGTACTTCAGTTGTTTGACTGCACAAGCACATTCACGTGTTAGCTGTCATCAACCTTTGCCAAAGCATTATCACTGATGCTTCCAGGGATTTTGGAAGAGCGAAAATGTAAGAAACTTGTCTGTGCGGTCACTAGGATATGACTTGCTTTAAGGAAAGATAAAGATATTTAGCTGCCTTGGAGGTGCTGCAGATAAAAGTCAGCTAGAGCCTATTTCATTCAATACAGCTTTGTTTGCTGGTATGACTGTATATTGCTATGCCTGAACTTAGCTCTGTCAGAGACACCTCTCCTCTGTATCTTACTAGAACGCTCATTCGATCTGAAATTAAAGATGGAAAAACAGTTTCATTAACACCTTGACTTTTTCCATGCTCTGACTTTTCCCCTAAATGCTTACATTTCAGGCTTATGGTGTTATTTTTCTTCTAAAAAGACAAAGAAAGACCCCTCAGAAGTTTTGAGAGCCTTTCCTATAACTGAATCCAGAACTTTAGGCATGAAAATTTATAAGTCATCTGGAATAAGAGATGGATATATAATACCTGATGATGTAGCATACAATCAATGAAAAGTCCCCATAAATCTGTAAAGGACAGCTTGTGCCCCTCTTGCTTTCTTTCACAAAGCTCCTTTTCATAATATTTCATATGATCCAACGAGAAACAGTTCAGCTTGCTCTTGATCACGTGTTTCCTGATATCACCAATGGGGCCTCTGAGATCCTTCTGTGACCAATTTGTATCTTCGTATAACTTTGCCATGGTCCTGGTAAGAGGAAACATACCATGATTCATCACTGGGTACATGACAATTCATGGACTTATGCCACACATAAGGGTTGTGTTTCAGAATACGCAAGGCTCTCGGCCTCCAACTTTTATCTTGGAAGAGCAGTTCTAAGCTCAGGCAGAATTTAGGCTGCACAACAATATTTTTGCTGCAAGGGATACATTCAAAATCATCCTAGCTTGTTTCTTCTCAGAATCAAAAGAGTAGTAAAGAAACGCCCATAATTTAACGCAGGCTTTTACCAGAATTACCCTTTGATTGCCCAGGTTCAAGCTGCAGCTTCTGCCTGAGGCCAGTTCCCTGAGCTGTTTCAGAGCTGCCTGAAACATTCAGCAGGAGTTTAGCAGCAAACATTGCCCTGGAAAAGTGAGAGAGCTCCCCTCCTTGGGCATGCAGCAGGCAGGTCACCTCAGACTCATGGCATGCACAGGGCCTGTCTGCTTGAGATTTCACTTCCCAGAGTTCGGGCAGATTCCAGTCATCCCTTCTCACCCCCACCCAACTTGTTCCAGTTCTGTCTCATGTGTCTTTTCAGAGTGGCCCTCCAGAGGCAAAACGTTTTAAAGCCCTAGACCCCTGCTAGTAGTACAAGGCAGTCAACATTGCATGCATGACACTCCATGTTTCTCAGCGCTTTTCGTTTAAATTCTCCTTTTCAGAGCCATGTAAGAGTTGAGCCAGGCAAATATTACAAGAGGATTTCTGAAGTGTTACATGCAACTAGATAACCCAAGAGATACACAAAGGAAGGGAAAACAGTATTTCCCTACTTTCATTTCCTCATTGCTCTCGAGCGTGCCCAGGGATTGGGTCTGCATCCTTTCTGAGATGCAAGTCCCCAGAACTCCAACTGCATTGCTCCTCTTGCACATCTGCCACATATTCTCCTAATTCATGATTAACATCTGATTTGTCTGCACTGGCAATCAAAAGGTTTACTTCTCCCCCAGGAAGCAATCCCTATTTCTTACATACCCAAGAAAATGCCAGGTTTTGGCGTATCAGGCCCTATTCAGCCCCTTGTTGATAGCCATAAACAACCACTTTTCATTCAAAGGGAAACACTGAGACGCTTCTACCCCGCATCATACTGTAGGAATCTTTTCTGCCATGTAACTCTGGGAAATGAGAAATTGAGCCGAGTCATACAGAATTTTGATCAAAAAACACACATTTCCTCCTCCATTCTCTGTGTCAGGCACCAAGTTTATGACAGAAACAAGTTCGGCCCCCAAGGGACCTCAAAAGATGTGGCATAGCAGAAAGCCATGTATCCAAGCCACAGAAAAGCTGCAGATGCAGGTAAACAGTCCTGGCTTGTGCTCTTTTCTTTCAGTTTCTGTGCAATTGTAGAAATACAGTAGTTCTCACACAATTTGTCTCTTGTAGCTAAAGGAGATAAGGGCTGCAGCACTGAGTGGTCCCATGAAATGGGTGAGCACTAAAAAGAAGCCAAGCATCAGGAGTCCCAGCATCAGGCTGAGTAAAATTCATCAGCAAGGCAATATACTTCACCAGGTTATCATTCTGCTAACACAAACAGCAAGCACAAACCCCATTCTCCTTACCATGTTGTGGCAGATAAACCACTGATGTATGAGACACAGTCCAAAACACCTAACTCCTGGAGAGCCAAAAGACTGCCAAACATAGACGTCATGGACCTCACTCCCCCTGCTGTGGTCATGACTGCCACCACTGGCACCTGCTCAACAGACAAAGTCACAGAATCGTTCCTTACCAGATGAAATAGAGAAGTGATGGGCATGCAGAAAAGGTAACAGCAACACCCTGATTCAAGTAGGTTTGGACTCAATTCACCTTCTTCCTGGCAGCGCTTATGCGTGTGTTTGAGTTGTATAAACTTTGGTGGGACTTTGCGTATGCTGAAAGCATCTTCCTGATCAGTGATGCTTTGGTAAGTCAGAAGCTGTAAGCATGGTTCTTGTATTGCATAATCTATTTTCAGATTTGTAAAGAGTCTTCTCTGGATGTTTTTAATTTTTCCTCACATCTTTCCCTCAAAACACATTTTAAAATCCTGGGTAAAGCTGAGGTCAGAGGAACAGAGCAAAAGCTGCCTGCATAATATTTTCTTCCTCTAAATTTACATGCAACATTGGCTATTCTCCAGGCAGATGGTGCCAGGCTTTATAGATTTATTTTAACATCCTCTTTGTTACCCAGATCACCTCTGCCTTCCCTGACATCAATGCTATATGCAATTTGGTCTTACTCTCCTCAGGGATGCAGCAATTCTGTTAGCCATCCTCCCTTTGCCCCATAGGTATCCCTTAACAAAAATGGAGATAAGGTATTTATTCAGTCTTAGAAATATACCTTGCCATTACCTTTAATCTTGTCTTCATTGTATTTCACCACCTACTTTGGGGTTGGAATGGGGGGGTTGTTTGTTTTTTAGTTAATATAACCCTTTATTCTCATTTAATAATAACAATTCCTATTCTACTTGTTATTTAAGTTCATGAGGACTTTGACTTGGTTGACAAATGGTGTCCTGCACACAGCATCAAGGGTTGGGTGTGCTGGAAGTCAAACAGAGCAGTGGAGGAAATCCCACACAGACACATTCTCCCATTTGTAGGAGAGTGTCTCCCTGACTCTTGACACAAGCACCACACAGCCCCATAACAGATTACTGTCCTCTAGTAACAAAGCAGCCACCTCTGAGTCCAGGGATCCCCAGGAGAGGAGAAAGCAAGAGGTAACACTGAAAAACAGACAAGAGTGGTACAGCACCAGTGTGCTAAGCGAGAGTTGCAGCCTTCTTCTGTGAGCCTTGTGAAACAGCAGAGAAGAGGAGAGGTGCCAAACTGAGAAGAAATAGTCTCAGTCCAAGCAACCAAATTTCACCAAGCTTAGTTTTACATGGGTTCATCTCAACGAATTTGTTATTTGGATGCCCGCTGAATGAGGATGGAGGTTGGCAGAGAATAAAGGATCTATAACTGGCCTTCTGACAGCTCCTCTTTCATCCAAAAATTCTTGGATATGGTCTTAGGTACAAGTGACAACCTGGCCTATACATTTTAGTCTAGAAGATGTGGAAGAGCTATATGGGTAGTCATGCCAGTACATCACATCCACTTTGTTCAAAGTGGGACAGAATATTTTAAGTTCCCAAGATGCTGTCCCACATACCTCATCTTCCTGCAGGTCTTCATCTAGATGAAGAAGATTTTTCAAAGCAGCAGCAACCACCTTCTTCCTTTTACAGATGAAGTCGTGCTCCTCTGCGCATAGATCAAACCCTAATCGCAAATCTAAATTCTTGCAACTAGAGCATAAGAACAGAAGAAGACACGTTACCTGTAAGCCATTTCTAGATCTACTGCTTGAGACAACAAGCAAAACCAGCAACAACAATAAACCAGTTTAAAGAAAGTCTACTTCCGTGCCCATGAAGGTTCCCCTATGCAAATGAAAGTAGGTATATGGATATCACGGGCCCTGTGGATATTTTAGACCAGAATCATGTCCTGAACTATTTCACGCATTCATGAGGAAGTTAAAGGAATCAAATTCTCTACTGATGAAAACCAAGGAACGTAACTGAATTCAAGCTGTTTCACATTAAGCTCTGAAATTTGAACACCTCTTCACGTTCTCTTGCTATGTATGTGTTTTCTAAAGAGCAGAAGGGCCAAAGCAGTTATTTAAACTTAACACACTTTAGGCAAAATGACCCTAATACCATGTCAGGCTTATCTCCACTAAGAACTTGTGCTGGAAATACTTGAGTCAGAAAACATCTCTTAAGTGCATCCCTTCATAACTGGACATGATTACAAACATCACATGAATCATTAATTCTATAACTTCTGTTTTCACAGTGCTACCATTTCTGTGTTTTTTTCAGGCAAAAGGTTATTTTGTCCCTTCTGTGACTCAAAATTTATATTCAATTAAAACCTCTGATTTATCATCCATCTGCAATTAGCTCTTGCAATGTAGCTAACTAATCGGTAGGGGGTACTGTTGCCCTTCGGAAAATCACTGCAAGCCAGTCAATAAATTAATTACAGTTCACTTGTTTCACTGAAAAACGATCTGCAGAGGACTGGTAAATGCATAACGGTGTTAGAAACATGTTAAAAATGTATTACACATAAACGTGTGTGTATTACAGATACAGTTTACAAGACAGAGGCATTCTTATGTATTAAAATTAGGAGGCATCATCATTAGGAAAAACGTTGTAACTGGTTATACCCCATGACTACCTACCACCTATTCTATGCTGAACTCTTTACCAACCAATTTAAAAGTATGTATCATTTTACTAACCCTTCCCCACATTTTAGTCGTCTTTAACCAAGTACAATATTTATTCCTGGTTTTGAAATGAGCTAGTTTAAGATGTAGCTTCTTTTCATCTAAAGGTGATTCTATGAAAGGATAGGAGATGGCTTAAGTAATCATTCAAAAGAAATAAAATATTTACCGATCTTCCTCGTTCACAGACACCTCATAAGATGCACCCTGAGAATCAAGAATGAAAACACTGTAAATTTTAAATAGAATTGAAAATTTGCAAAGGCAAGTTTATACAGTATTAGCAATTATTCAGATATATAGTCTAATGATAAATTTTTGGTCTCTTTGCAGGTCTTCTGCACACAATCATCACTAGGATCCTGCTTTTAAAATGCTTTCAAAGCAATCAGCAATTCCGAATATGCTACTTTTCCCTGAATAATAGTTATACTTTCAAGTGTGTGCAGAGCTGAGCATACATATGACTCAGCTAGTATAATTTAAATAACAAAATTAATAACGGTCCAGGTATCACATAGATATAGCTTACACTTGTTGAAATAATTCCAGACGCTCTCAAAGGTTACTCACTCTCATCACTGTCACTTTCTTTCCCAAGTCCAGAGAATGGAGAGGCACAGCCTTTTCCCTCCTAGCTGAGCCATGCTGAATTAAAGTGGGGAAAAAAAAAAAAAAATGTTATAAGGAGAAAATTATTTACAACCCATAGGTACAAATCTACCAGGGGAGGGCTAATTCATCATGCTTCTCCCAAAAGTTACTGTAGCTGTTACCACCGTCCACAAGCAAAACATACACCACAGAAAACATGCTCCTTTGGCAGCGTCATGTGCAGTCTGGGTTGACTGTGCTTGACGTAGTGGAACATGGTGGTTTCACTGCAGCGAGGACCTATGGAAACGTCCTGCATTTCTTCATACGATCCTTTCATTGTGAATGTGAAATGTCTCCCTAGGAACAAGCAGCAAACCACACAGAAATGTTAACTGCATCTAGCCCTGAAAAATAACAAATAAAAATTTCCCAAGTAAAGTTTCAGCCTTAGTGCAGTCAGCAGTAATTTGGGCCACACTGTTTTTCCTCCCCCATAATTGGTGTGAACAAGGGCCAGACTGAATAAGCAGCAAAGGCCGGTGCAGCATTGCAACTTCTCCCCCACCAAGCGATGGAGAGCACATGTTAGACCAGTGGATGCCTCTAGCAGCATTCATACCCCCCGAGTTTCCACCATAGTCTTTCCACTGCTGACAGTTGTGTTTCCCCTCTTTTTCTTCCTGTTCTCATCACAGATATTTCAGTTCCATCACACTGCAGTGATGTTTGAGTCTCCTGGTCGCCTCCACATTTTTCCTCAAGCTACACCTGTCACACCGTCTCCAGAGATTTCTCACTGTTATCAAGTGTTCAGGAAACACCTCAATCCCAGAGCAGCCCCGATATAAATAGAGATGAAAACAGATTAAATATTTATCAAAGAGGGTAGATTTAGATTAGATATTAGGAAGAAACTTTTCACTATGAAGGTGGTGAGGCACTGGAACAGGTTGCCCAGGGAAGTTGTGGATGCCCCATCCCTGGAGGTGTTCAAGGCCAGGCTGGATGGGGCTTTGAGCAACCTGGTCTAGCGGGAGGTGTCCCTGCCTATGGCAAGGGAGTTGGAACTAGATGATCTTCAAGGTCACAATCTTCAAGTTTAGGACCAAAACCATTCTATGTTTCAGCAGCGTCTCCCATAGCACAGAAAGCAGTGACAAACCATTTAAATCAGTAACCTCACTTGTGTAAGGTCTCTGCATTTTTGTTTCATTCACATGTACTTCCAAACAGGAAACTTCACGAGACTGGAAGAGATAAGCAAATAAAATCACCAGTCACAGAAACAGTTGAGGATCCTCACTTACGATCTAGGGGTCCTGTGGAGACACCAGGCTTGGCCATGATGTCCTGTGAACACGAAGAAATTGCAGAAGCTTCTCTTGTATAAATCATGCAAGCAACACTGTAGTCAAAGGAGCTAAGAAAGCTGGGGACCTTGTCCCATTATATTTAAATACCATTCAATCCCCAGCAGTTAACACAAGAAATTCTTCTCCCCATCTAGGCCACGCTTTAACTTTTGTCTACAGAAGAGTGAGCTGAAAGATACCTACAACTCAGCAGAAGAACTGGACAGATGGGTCTGTACTTTCATATCTTTGGGATGAAGCTGAAATTCCCCAAGAGAGTGCTGCATGGGAGGAAGGAGCAGCACAGGAGCATCGCACTGTACTTTGGACCTGCTGTGAAAAGACCCTTCGGCTCCAAGGTAAACATTCAGTAATAAACTCTGCAGTGGTACTGCATTCACTGCCTTCCCAAGTTTTCTTGTTTATCACCATTTCATTAGCAAGTAGCTCACTGGCACTGTGGCAGAGGGCTGGTCCAAGCCTCTCCCAACACAGACCGCACTACAAGCATGACCAAACTCAAAACTTTACAACCACATCTGTGCCTCATCTGAAAAAAAGAAAAGGCTATGCCTAAAGGCATATTTCTTCCAACTACATCCTTCAGTTCTGCCCTACCATAAGAACATAAGCATAAAAAAAATAAAACAATTACCACTAGTACGCCATTAGTAATGATGTTCTCAGATACGCCTGGACTGAAAAGCAAAACGGAAAAATTTTATTTAAGAATGGGTATATGAGCAGTAATCTTTTAAATGCAAACTGTTCCCTGAGCTCAGTTTTTCTGGTTGCCAAGTTCCATCAGCACTTCTATATTTCACCTCCGTGTCATGCTCACTGCCAGGTCAAGGTCGCATAGCTCCTAGGGATATTCCCTTTCTTACCTCCCCTGATCAGCACCATCTCTCCTTAGGCTGAATTGCAAAATAAACACCCACCCTCAGCTATAAATAGTAAGTGAGACTGTCAGTCAAGGAGGGATTTCACAAGATCCAGAGAGAAAAGCAACCATGGGAAGGATGCTGATATGGGATATCTAAGCACATGTACATGGAGCAACTTCCCGAATGCTGCATTACCACTTTCTCTAAAATGCAAAGTTTTCTCATGACAAATTCTGTAACATTTAACCTTTACTCACATTTTTTCCAGTAGAAATTCCACTTCTAGTTCTTCATGATTCTGAAAATAAGATACATTTTTCATTTAAGGAAAGCAAATGAATAAAATTTTTCCTTTGATGGAGCTCTGATAATTTTGTATAACCCTCCCTTGCAAGATTTTGCTGCTCCCACACCCTCTGCATCACAATGTAAGTGGATGGAGCCTTCTTTGGCCACCCTTTCATTTCATGTCTCTCCACTGCTCTGTTGTTTACAAATCAACTGTCCCATCAAGGGGAAGAGCAGAGCAAGTATCATGGAACAGGGGGTGAAGGTCTCGTTATTCACCTTATAGCAGGATGAGACATGGGTCAATGAATGCTGAGGAAGGGAGGTATAGCAGATGAATGATGTAGGAGAACATACTTGAGAATAAATGGACCTAGGTGATAAGTATGTCTGGGTTAAAAATAAAGAATTTGCAGAGTATAGTGACTAAATACAAACAAAAAAAAAAAGTGGGAGAAGAGACCAATTTGGAAAATGAAAATTGCCAGGGTGAAGGGAAGACTGAATCTGTGAAGGGGAATGAGGGAAAGTGCTCACAAGGCCAAATCAAGATGAAAAAGGGGGAAGAGTGTGAGAGCATGGAACAGCAGCAGAAGAAAAGAGTAACACTTCAACAACATAATAGGGACTGAATAATTGTATTACTTTACTGCAGCCATTTTCTGGATCAGTCTGTATGGGACACAGCCAATCCAGGAAATACCGCACAAAAACATGTACCAGAGAGATCTTCTATTTCACCCACAGGGAGGAAAACACTAATTAGTGGAAGATATAAATCTCTTTCTGACAAGTGATGGTAAAATTTTTCATTCATATTCAGAAGAAGTAATCTGTACTGCCAAATATCCCTTCTGCCTGGCTGCACAACATACTTTAATTTTGTGAAGAGACAGTGAAAACCATGTCAAGTCTGATAAGGTACCTGCCAAGGTAAAATCACCACTACATTAAAGGTGAAAAGTGAGTATTTTTGTATTTACTACTTCATGTCAGCAAACAAGACATCTCAGGTGGCTTCTCTGAGAGCTGTGTCTGTGGCATGTAACCCAGCAGCAGGTATTTCTCCCAAAAGTCTCTGTTTCATGAGAATTAGGGTGGTTGCAACAGTTTGTAACAGAAGGCTGAGGGATGGCTTTTAGAAAGCAGTCACCTTACAGAGATGCAAGACAGACTTTATCAAGCATCAGATCGTGACCAGTCTGTACTATCCAAACTTACTGACCATCTGTTCCAACTTTGTCCAAAGAACAGCAGAAACAACGTTCAGGAGATCCTGGCTCATAACATCTACTTAATTGTGCCTGCCTTATGTTCCCATCATTCTTATGCTGTCGTACACACACTCACACAAATTATATTTCTATTAAGTCTCATTCACATTTTTGTGGGTGAAAAAACCTGGAGCAAAGCAATGGAAAGACTTGTTAGACCACACGGTGAGCAAGAGCCACAGTAGGAAACAACCCTGATGCTCTGACATTACCCATCCTGCCTCCTCTGCCCTCCTTTTGAGATACCTTGGTAGATTAAAGAAATCATTATAGGCACAGGTGGAAGTACTGTCTATTATTAAGCTTGCCCAGCATCTGCCATTACTAAGTAACTCTTTTCAAAAAAAAATTAACCCCAAGTGTTCTAAAAATCCATGTACAGACCATAATCTGCGGTGCCTCATGGGCACCTGAGTAGGAGCTGTGATCCGAATAAGGACAGCTTGACCAAGACGTTCCTGAGACACAGCTCACCTTGTCTTATCTCCCCAGCTTCCACCTTGCTAAGTCAATGGGTTAAGCCAACTCTGCACATGCCTCAGAGCAAACTCATGGCTTGAATCACAACTCAAATCATCTCAGTCGCATGAGGCTTTTTCTAAGGAAGCCATAGCCAGGTGGAAGAGGTATATTGAAATCCTTAGAAAGGATTGTCTTTCTAAAAGAGTAGTGAATAAACACTCTGCAAAGCAACAATAACATAAAGCAGGCAAGAGTGTTTTCTGAACAGCCTGTCTGACACAGTGGTTTAGAAATAAACAGAGCGCACACAATTCCTAGGAACTGTAAACTCATGTCCTTGTCAGAAGTGTGAAAAAGCCCCGAAGTCTTGTTACTACACAGCCTCCCAGCAGAGAAGGTGTTATATTTTGTGGAAAGTAAGCTGAGTACATATTTTGCTCTCTTAAAAGATGGGTGTGATTTCTCCATCTGTCCTCTCAGCAACTTCCCCCAACATTTCATAAGAAAAAATCTTTATCCCCTCTTTAATAAGACCAAACACAATATTCTTTGAGACATGTGCAACAAACAAAACTGCCAGGTCGCGCGCTGACCTGGAAGAAAAGAATAAAATACTGAGGAGATTCTCATCCATCAAGCCCTACCCACTCTGTGCTGACTCAGCCCCCCCTCCCATAAAAGAAATTTGTAACCTGCAACAAAAGATCATAAACAGACTTGCAAATAATTTTATATTTTTTAAATTTGTTTTTTATCAAAAGGAGGAAAAAAACTGAGAAGTTTTAATGTGAATATGCAACCATTTACGAAGCATATTGCCTGAAAGCACAGGACAAAACCCTTGGTGAAGCTGAGAGGAGGTACACCTATTGACCTACTGGCCAAAGGGTCAGTGCTGCTGCCCGGAAAAGGGGCCAGGTTTGTTCCCATCCCTGCTCTGTCAGTCTCCTACAACAGCGATGAGATCTCTAACCATCAGCTTCTTCATTTTTGACTTTCACTCTCGTTTTTTTTTTTTTAAAGACATTTTTGAAATCTCAAAAATAGTCAGAATAGGAAAGCCAATTTCAATCACAGAGAGGTGACTGTTTCTGACCCCTCCTAAACCCTGATCATTTAACTTTGGGTTTTAATAAGGTCCTTCTAACAAAGTTTTTGTGAGAACAACTCTGATGTTTAATATAGGTAGTAACTTGGGACAAAATTCTGCTCAAGAATATTACTTTATCCATCCACTTAATTTCACTCGTCTTTTCATTTCTCACCTCTGGATTCAACTCAAAATTCACGAGAACTTTTTCTCCAGGTTGGATTTTAGATACATCAAAGCGAACGGTCAAAAGCTGGTCATCTGGTGTAAAAGTATCCTCATCATAGACTGTCAGCTCCAGGATGTTCTGAGAAGAGAGGCAGAGAAGGATGTAAATGGCATATTCTGGGACTACTGAGCGCAAAAGGAAGGTCTCGTAAGAAGTCAGCAGGCAGCCCTCACGTTGTTCAATGCGGACAGACTCCTGTGACAGCGTGGAGCTTAGTTTGCAGCCCCTGTGGCTCAGATTGCAAAGTCAGGAATTAATCCTAGAAGAGGTAGATCATCAGATTTGGCAATGAACAAGAGCTCAAAAGAAAGGCAGCATAAGGGACGTGCACGGTGGCAGCAGGCACTGAACAGAGTAGAGGTTATTTGTGCCATTCATCATGATCCGTTGTGGATTCAAAATTACCATCTTGAGAAATTTTGGCTTATCAGCAGAAAGTAATAATAGAGGGTAAACCCTTAGCCCTTCACAAAGGGAAGGTAAAGCACATTAACAAACTCTTTTAACAAGATTTTAATTGTAGTGATTCCCCTTCCAATTCTTCAGGGCTTAGATCGCCCCTAGCAGCACGAGAAGACGCAGCACTATTAAGCGATAGGAAGCTGACCCCATGTCTAGACCTTGTACCATTTGCACTCAGACTGCTTATCTATTTCTGCTAACTCTACAAACATTTTAACAGATTTTTACAACTGCTCTGGAACAGAAAGAAGCATTCAACCTTATTTCAGATGATCAATAACCCTCTGAGCTTACACCAGTTCAAAGCATGGGATAGGCATGGTTCTACTGTAAGTCTGTAAGTCAAACATACAGTTTGGTTTCTTATAGCTTTCTAGGCTTTTGGAAATATGCGTGTTTAATGATAGAATGATTAGGATTAACAGATATTTTTAAATTTTTAAAAAACAGCATTAAGTTATGGTACCTCTTACAATTTACAAGTGTCATCCCTGTTACTGTATCAACCAGATATTACAAGCTCATGGCAACATACAGCAGAAATGCTTTCACAGTTGCGTATAAGAAAACATAACTAATCCTCTGAAGTGTTTATAAAACCTGCCATCCAAATCACGGGGTTCTAGTGCTTAGAAGATGACAGAGACCAGTCAGGGCACCAGAGAATCCATACCAAGGCTTGCCTATATACTTGCTGGTAGGAAACAGCATCTCATGCTGTCTCTGATGCTCTCTGTATCTTTCCATTACTATCCTATTCCTCAGCATAGCTGAGTTCAAGTCTCTGTGTGAGCCTCAAGGGACTCATAAAGAGTCTGCACACAGCAGGGGAAGATGTCCCCTTTAGAAAACGTCTGCTCACTGTCACAGGTGCAGATCCTACCTTTACTTCCCTTTGTATCATGAAGTGGAAAGTCTCGTTCCAGACAGGGTTTCTGCAGTTGCGCACAGTTCTTGTCTGGGCTTCCCGACACGAAGCTGTTGGCAGCCACAGTTTGACATAGCAATCAGTTTGGCTCACTGTATTAACGAAAAGATGCATAATTAGTACAGCAGTATTTTTTTATTATGTCTTTTGCCAGGGGAAAATGTCTTTTATTATGTCTTATGTCAGGGAAAAAAAAAAAAAAAAAAAAAAAAGATGAGTCTCTGAGGAGTCCTAAGTATTTCATTAGACCCGAAGGAAAACATTCTGGGCTTAGAGTTATTTAACTTTTCTATCTACATTTATTTCAATTCCAAAAAAAAGTCAATTTTAAACCACTAATTTTATTTGATAACTAAAGCCAAAATATTCAATTTAAACAGTACTGAAGTATTCTGGTTCTCCTGATTTTTTTAATTCTGTTTTCAAGTATTTTCCAGGCTCCAAGCGAATTCATATATGACTTCAATTCCTGAAACTTCCCTTTTTCAAAAAAATGAAGATTTGGGGGATTTTTTGACCTAGTTCTGATTGTAATGCACAAGTCATCCACAGTGATGTAGCAATGAAGACACAAATACAGCAGCACCCAACACAACTGCTGGCTTTTGCTTTATCTTCCACAAAGGTGCCCATTTCAGAAGGGAAATGGGTGACCTGTGCATAAAGTGGAACTGAAGAGTTAGGGGAAAGGGAAATATCACAAAGCAGCCAGTGAAGGGAAGGGTAACTTTTTTCCCAACATAGAATTTCTATTCCTTTTTATTCCTATTGTTAACTTTTTTTCTAAATTATTTTAATTGAGTCTAAATGAAAATGAAAAGAGATAAAACTTTTTCAGCCAAAATACTTGAGACATTATTGTAATCCAAACAACAGGTGTACAAGAGCATTAAATTCAGGTGACAAAGATTTTCTTTCTAACCTATAAACATACCATTAGTGATACTTACACAGGTCTGCTTTGCGGAGATTTCTCATGCTTACAATTTTTACAGTAAGCCAGCACAACTGAGGCACTTCTCTCTGCAGAACAATGAGAAAAATACCTTAAATATTAGCAAATAACTCAGACGTAACTAACACAGCCTATCCTATAGCATAGCAAAGGCCATTCTCTCATTAATGCAGTGAATATATGTTCATTTTAATTATTTGAGACAATTTCTGAGAAGAAATTATTTCTTGTGATTTGATACCATATAATGTCAGATTCCAGCTATGTTTACTAACCAGTTGTGGTTTAAGTTTTCTAAAGATCCAGGTTTTAGAGGTTAAGTTTTAATACAGGGAGTAGTAAGAAACAGCAAGAGATAGTTTTCACAAAATGAGTCATTACATCGTTGCCCCTGTAAAATCTAGCTACTTGTAAACTACAGGGTTTGCTCCTCAAATTTCAGGTTATATGCAACAGATTACAGCACAGCACTTCCCGGTGTGCTGGGTGGGGGACCAGGGGATGCCCTCTTTCCTACAACAGGGACAGCTGCCACATAACATTACTGTAGAACAGGACAGATATACCCTCCATTTGATAATGACCCAGTCTAGATATCACTGCTACTGGCCAGTCTGGCTGTGGGATACATAACACCATAACATCCTTCACCATATCAAAATATCTGACCCTTAAAAGGAAATAAATGTCTAAAAGAGGGAGACAATGGTTCTATAAGTGAACAGCCCAATATGGGACTCCAGAGTTCTTCACCAGCAGGAGGAAGGCTGAAATCAGAGGCTTGGGGTAAGAATTCTGCCATTTCACACGTAAGTCCAGCTCCCAATAAGGCAGCTCTAGCATTTCAGTGCAAATTTGACATAAGGCAGAACCAGCTGGTTTTGGTTTTTTGTTTTTGTTTTTGTTTTTTTGCCTCTGCTTGACGCTGAGTAAAGATAACCTGTCATCCATAGATAAGCCTTACATTAATCAAAATGAAACCACATTACCACAAAATCATAGAATGGTTTAAGTTGGAAGGGACCTTGCAGATCATGGAGTTCCAACCCCCCTGCCGTAGACAAGGACACCTCCCACTAGACCAGGTTGCCCAAGGCCACGTCCAGCCTGGCCTTGAACGCCTCCAGGGATGGGGCCTCAACAACTTCTCTGGGCAACCTGTTCCAGTGCCTTACCATCCTCAGAGTAAAAAATTTCTTTCTAATGTTTAATCTAAACCTGCCCTCTTCCAGTTCTATGGAGAACTGATATGCGTACATAAACCAGGAGCTGGAGGAAAACCAGAACTGAAGAAAGCATAAATCACATAATTTCTAAATAACATAAGAAAATATAAAGTTGCAAAGACAAAATTACAGATTTGATAGGATGAAAGTAAAATTGCCAGCGTGTTAGATTATGCAATTAAACACAAAGGAGTAAGAATAAAAGTTATAATTGCATATGAATGCACATACACACCGGAAAAAAAAAAAAAAACACCCAACAAAAGCACAAATAGGTGATTCAGAACGCCCTGGTTTATTCAGGATTTTTTGAATTATAAATTATTTAAAAAATATGTTCACATGGAAAAACACTAGGCTGACCTGATTGATTTACCGAGGAGAAGCACTGAGGTATAACAATAAATTGTCATCCCATGGTGCAGGGGTCTACAAGGGAATAGCTTGAAAGCTCCACAACCCTCTCCATTTTTTGATTTCTCCCTCCAGTCCCCATCACAGCTACACACAACCCTATACTTGGTTACAGGAAAAACAAGACAATCTTGAACATCAGAAATAAAACACTAGCTCCATTAATTAAACTGAAAGGATCAATTAAATCTTCAAAACATCGTGATTTCTGAGCACCTGTCTCCTCAGGATCTCCATGCATACCTCTTCTTTTGATATGCCAGTGTCCTGACAGGAGCAGATTAACCATCTAAAAAGCTGTAAGTCACCAGGCTAGATGCTATTTAAAAATTCTCAACCCAACAGTTTTCTCTCAGAAAGTGCCATTTGAACAAAACCAGCAGGTTTGGAAGAAACTTATGAACCTCAGCAGAATTTTTCGCAGTAATGTTTCTGGTGATAGCGAGAATGACATGAGTAGATGATCTGAACTACTGAAAGTTCAACTTTTCATCCCGAATACAGAGGACAAATTTCTCTTCCTCAGCGTTAGTACCATCCATGTCCAGGAGTTAGGAGAAAACTTATGAATAAGATGGCCGAAGTACTACGAAAATGTGCAGACACAAAACCAATTATTATTGCATAGTGCTAGCAGGTAGTGAGTTTGCTGCTCTCCCAGATCTAGCAGAGAGTTAGCCTCATACTTCCGCACTGAATATAGGTAGGGAGCTGGAAACTCAGGGGAAAAAACCCACATCATGCAATTTTTTTTGGGTTTTTTTGAGTTATCATTTAGTACCATTTCAACAAACCATTAGTCAGAAAAGGGAATAATTTGTTACATATCCAGTATGTACCACATTCAGTACCTTCCAACACCTTTTACCAGTTCAGTTTCATAAAAATTAGCATTCAGAATTATTTTAAGTGGCAGATGCTGAGTAATCCATTTTATCTGCTGCTCTGCCTCCATAAAGCAAAGGAAAACCAATTTGACAACTGAGCCTCGGGTGTTATGAGGTAAGACTACCATCATATAGTGATGTCACAGTAAAATCAAGACTAAAATCCAGCTCTCCCAGTTCCTTGCCCAGTATCTAAACCACAAGTGCATCACCTTCTTCACCTTCCCAACACCTAAGTCATAGTGAATGTTTTCCACTCTAGAGAGCACACTCACAGAAGAAACAAATATTCCCTTAACTAACTATTAAAAAGTATCACCTCTCATAATAACAGTTAAGCTTCGGGAGAGATAGGAGAGGCTGATGGAACACGGTCATTGTTCATACCCCACAGCCCTCTCCCTGCAACCCAGCAGCTGCCCTCTGTACAGTACCTCATTTTCAGTGCTGTGTGGTCTTTCGTGATTCCTCCTCCCGACTCCAATCTTCCTGAGCGGGTTTGCTCGGCTGAACTGATCCTGGGGACAAGGAGCCAAAAGAGAGGCCAATGATGAAACACAGGAGTCAACAATTCCCAGTTTTCAGTTTCTACTCAGATTCGCCATGGCAATAGCAGGGAGCCCTACCATTTCTCCTCCTCATGATGAGATACATCTGCGTCTCACCAAGACTGTCTGTCTGCTGCTCTTGCTAATACATCTGCCCACTGCAGACCCATTTGACATTTAAGGATCAGAACTCCCCCTTCATTTGCTTTCAATGAATCTCAACCAAGACAGGCAAACAGATCCTCCTGCCCCACCGCTGATTTTCTCTTACCAAAAGTGAATAGGCTGAAGATCCCATTAGTATCTCTGTTTCATAAAAGACAACACTATAATGGTCCACTCTGTATATCTCACAGCTGGCAGGTGCTACTGGACCATGCTATTTTCCAACCAACTGAGGCAGTGAAGAAGAGCTGTATAGATTGACTCATAGCTCCTCCTCCCACTGATTTCAAAAGCCCAAATTATGCACTTGTTCTGTGCCACATGAAGATGATTATTTTTTTTTAAAACACCACAGTGATTTAGGGGAAAGGAGGAGATAGGTCAAACATTTTATCATAAGCTAATCCCAAAATAAAATAGTTATCCACCGCTGTAAGGTTTGAATAACCACATGCAGAGGAATATCCTGGGGCAGTCTCAATCCTCACAAACTAGAGAGGACCTAACAGGACATTGTGACTACTGATACCTACTGTTACTTTCTGTAATCCCAAAATCCATTCCTGCACTTTGGCAGCACCAAGTGGAGTCATCTGGACAGCCAAACAGCAACATTCCAGCTCCCACCAGCTCCTCCAGCCTGATGAGCAACTGCAAGGGTTTTCACCAAGTTCACTACAAATTACAGCCAAAACATGGAGGCTGGCTCTCATGGATGGTGGCAATAGTTAAAGAAAACAGCCTGTAGCTTTTCTTCTCTCTTATTTCTGTCACACAAGGGATGTTACGGGGTAAGCAGAGCCAGCAGGAACTTTTGTTACTGAAACATTTTTTAATTAAAGTGTTACTTTCAACTAAATTATGTTAGAAACCCATATGAGCTTTAACACAAATAACTACTTTTTTTTTTTCCAAAATATTTAAACATTCATGTTAAAATTGTCAAGTCTTGTTTCTTTTTTATTTTAGAATGATTTCACCTTATTTTTCTGTAATAGCAGTCAATACATAACAACAGAAGTACCTAGTACCATTATTAAAATACAACAGAAGTCAGCTATTGCATTAAACATTTTTAAAATCACTGAAACTAGCTGTTATTCAATAGTGAGAAGTTGCGGTTGAAATAAGTTTTTTTAAAACTGTTTCTTTCATTTTTTAGAATTCTCAAATTTCTAAGTCAGACAGAAAATCCCTTTTTGAAGCAGCAGGACTTCTTACGAAAAAAAATAAATCTGACTTTCAACCATTTCTAATGAAAGTATCTGACTATTCAAATGGCTCTGTAAAGGAGACCTTAGATAAATTCTCAAATGATCATTATAATTAGTCTGGTCTTTTATAGACTCAGGCATTGAATAAATAAAAGTTCCTGCTTTAGGTTGCACTATCATTCGTGCAAAAAAGCGCGATGAGATCCCAGCTACAGGCTTTTGTTGTGTTGTTTTTTTATTGTGTGGAGCAGTTTTATTACAATAGAGATCTATTTCACCTTGATTATATGGTAGTGCTTTTGAAGTAACGCTCCCTGCTTTGAAACAAGAGATTCAGATCATGTTGTTACAAAAGGTTGAACACGACAGCCGTCGCATCACTTAGCTCAGGCTCTGAAGTCATTTTATGGCTCAAGTTTGATGACAGTGGATTCTTTCCAGCTCTTCAAGAATAAAAGTTACCCACCCAGTTGGATAATACACCACGCTCCCAACTCAACTCCCACCGTTTCCACAATCTCCCCATTTGGGCCTTTTGTGGATTTCATAAATTAAAGCAAGCAATATTAACTGCTCGAGCAGCT